GTGGGTGTGTCCTGCAGGAGCTGGTCTGGAAATGCGTCATGGAAGGCATATTCTTTCCTCTCCCAGGGAGCATATGTGTGTGTTTGTTTAAATTGTGTTTCAAGATCATAAGCCGTGCCCCTTCCCAACCCCAAAAATAAAAAATCAAACTCAGGAAAAAGCAGCCCGGGGCAGAAATAGACAGAAAAGAAGCAGTTGCTTCAGTTTTTGCTTCCACCTTCATATGTTATCAGTTTCTTCCAGGTATATCTGCAGCCTCCTCAGGGCCATTGCTGGAGCGACATTAATTTAATTTACTCAGATGCTGCAGTCTGTGGTGCGCTCTAATTTTAGACTTTTCTCTCTGGATTCTGGATTTGGATGTGAAGAAATGACAAGTCTCTCTCTCTCTCTCTCCTGTACGTGCAAGGTGGAAGCTGCTCAGGTTAGGGACTACGGAAACATGTTTTTGACAGAAGTGAGTGAGTATGAAAAATGCCTTTGTGGGTCACAGTTGCTAACCCAGCGGTAGCAGCAGTTGCTGCTTCAGGAATTGGGACTAGCAGAGCTGAGCTGGGATGGATTGTCATTGACTCAGACTCTGAGCCAGATCTTGCTCTGGGTCACGTGGATGTAAATCAGGAATAACTCCACCAAAGTCAACAGAGTTTACTCCAGATTTACACATTGAAAATGGAGAGCAGACCCTTGTCCTCTGTGTCACAGGCTGAGAATTTTAAAACCATGTACGATGTAAAAAGTCTGAAGACAAGAGGAAGTGCCTAACTCCCTCAAGGCAAATGCGATCCTTAGTATAAAAAGTTCAACAGCTTAATAAGGCAAATTGTTTCCTGAGAGAGACACCAAGTGTTTTAGGAGTGTGTTTGTTTGTGTTTAGGGATGGGGGTGGTTGTGTGTGTGTCTAACTTAGTCTGGAAATCAGAAGAAGTTCAGACTCTGGAGCAAGCGTGCTGAAGACTTTGAAACTTTGTACCAGCCCTTCACACTAAGCCATGCTAACACAAAGCTTATTCTTTGTCAATTCAGAGGCAAATACTTATTCTTCATGGCAGTTTTTCAGGTAGGAACTAGGCAGGGAAGATGGGGATTTCCTCTAATGGGTTTTTTTTTTGTACCTAGACAACCACTGGCTTATCCCAATGATCATGAATTGGCCTGATCTGCACTAACCTCTCACTGCAGCCCAGCGTGGGCTGTGTCATCAGTAAATGCAATGGACGCAGCAATATATTCATTCAAAGACCGTGTGCCATTGGCTAACGCTGCATCTTCATTGCAGAACAGCTGTATTAAGCAAGTTTTCAAGCTGTGATGATTAACAGCCCTGCTGAAAGGGATGGCCAGGGCAGGGACTATACAGATATGGTAGTACGTTTGCAATAAAAACTCCTGTTTCTTCCATCCCCTCTGGATTCAGCTCAGTTCAGTCCAGGCTTTGGCATTCTTGGTTAAGTTCTGTATTGCTCATTTTTCTCCTCTTCCTTCCCAGGGTGCTTGAGAGAGATTGGAAAGGAGCTGATATCATTAGGTGTAATTACAAAGGTGCAAATTTCTATTAGCTATGAGGCCTACTGAAGAATAACCAGTTTCAGGCCTAAGTGAATTATAGCTCTGAAAGCCAACACTTTCCCCAGGTTTGCCGGTTCCACTTAATGTGTGTTTCCAATAACGTTATTCCATTGCAGGGAGCTTGGGTTAGGAGAGCTTTTGTTGACTATGTTACACAAATTCAATTTGTCATAGTGCTTGGTGTATAAATTAGAAATGAGAGATGCTAGCAAAATTAAATGATAAGCCCTGTGCCAGCTCCCTTCATGGCTGATGGGGCTGATAAATCAAATCCCAGAGCAATATCTGCTCAAATAGAATGAAATTGTGATCTAAGTAGGTCAATAAAGAAGCCAATAATCATTGTGTGGATGGGCATGAAGATTTTGGGTCTCTTTCTCCTGTGCCCTTGTGTCACCATTTACACGTGAGCAAAGGTGGGTGTAAATTGCCACTAACTCAAAATTCTGCCCTCACTGGTGGGAGCCTTTTACAACACTCTGAGCGCAAGTGGAAGGTATCAATTCGGCAAACTATCCCTGCAGAAATGTACAGTGCCAGCTTGTAATTAAATGCTAACTCAACTCAGGTGAATGTGAAGTAGTGCAGACAAGGCAGCCGACGATGTGATTATCTAACTGGAGCCCACACTAACCAGGTGGAGAAGTTTTATTTCAGGGACACGCTTGTTTTGTACTTAGTGGGTAAATAGCAGTGATTCTTTAGCCATGATGCGATCACGTAAGAGAAGTTGCAAGGGAGGTGGGGATTGGGAATGCACAAGTCCTGCAATTGCACTGGTGATACCATGCCCAGGGTGTTCAGAGAAATATTTCCCCCTTCATCCCTGTTCACACAGTACCCCTATTTATGTTCTCTAGCTAATAGAATGGGCATGTGATCCTCCTTAAAAGGCCTAGAACCCTGCAGCTTTTCCCCATCTGCATGCTGTGCACCTCGGAAGGGAAGGGTCAGCTTTCTAGGACCCCTCTGGGGTCCATAATGAGCTGCCCGATTCCTGGCTAAGGTATAAACTATGATGTCACAGTGGGAAGCTGAATAATGCAGAATGATCAAAGCCCTGGAGGAAGAAACACTCAGCCCTGGAGGAGTTCAGCTGTTGCATCACCCCTGTACAACAGTAATTGGCGTTTATATATTTACATATTCAAAGTTCTGGATGGACATTGACTGGTTATTAATCCTCCAAATACCCCAATGAGACATTTATTCCAGCTGGGTTCAATTGGCAGAAGTGCCAGCTGCGGGGGCGATAAGAAGGTTTTGCTACTGGAGATTTTCGGCAAAGTTTGGATAGGTGGCTGATGGATGGACTGAGCTGCATTCTTGGAGGTTAGCACATCACTAGGGTGAGTGAGGCTGAGAAGGAATCTTGCATTCTTACCAGGGTCAGAGAGATTTCGTTTGGATTCACTAAGGAAATGTTCTCTTAAAATGGGTTTCTTTCTAGAATGACCTTTGGTCCCTGGCTAGTGAACAGTACTTGGGGGTCTTTCTCTTCTGCCCAGATGTCCTCATGCATCTCTCATTAGTGTTTAGAAGAGTGATGGGCACTGAATGGAGAACAAGCTCCGGACGCTGTGTGTGACAAAGCCTCTTTTTAACCACTACGGCATCCTATGTCTAATATGCTGGCACGTTGTAAGACCATATGGAGTCGCTAGATAAACCGAGCATTGCACTGTAATCACACAGCAATGTGGGAGAATTCTGAAGCGCCCACCATCGGTAGCACTCAGAACAACTATCCACCTTTCTAAAGCTGTCTTCTAGTATGGGCAGCTTTGCTGAGTCCTGAAATACTCAGTCGAGGTGGGGATCGGTCAGAGCATGGGAGAGCAAAGGAAAGGGACTTAATTCTGTAACACAAGACATGGTGCAAATGTGCATTTCTTATAACAGGAGAGGTACAAGAGTTTGCCAGCAGGGTCTAGGCCGTGAATAGATTTGTCATACACACTTAATGTCTGCTGTGTGGTTTAGCTGTGTTGGTCCCATGATATTAGAGAGACTAGGTGGATGAGGTAATATTTATTAGACCAATTTCTGTTGGTGAAAGAGACAAGCTTTTGAGCTTCCACAGAGCTCTTCTTCAGGACTGTTACCCCTCACCCCAGGACTCACCCCTCGTGTCTCTCTGCCATACGCTTAATGACTCCCAGACACACTGGATAATGCAAAGCAGCAGGGCTGTCACAGATACCCATACGTCGTGGTTTTGCTTGTTGCAAAGTGGAAAACTGAGCAGCAGGAGTGAAAGCTCTTTGCCCACAGAAAGCAGTTCTCTCTCCTGCCCTCCCCTGGCCCTGGGGAAATTTAGACGGAGAAGAACATGTTCAGATGTTAGCGTCAGCAGAATGGGAATAATGGAGAACTATTTACCTGTATCTGGCCATTATATTCTCTGTGAGCTCAATCCTGCAGCAGTCAATGAGAGGTTTTATCCATTCCGAATCCTGGGAGTTGAAGGCACTCAGGACCTTGCAGGACTGGGCCTTGCATGAGCAAAGACCGACCTTCACAGGGAAGGTATTTGCTCTCAACTTGTCCTCTCTCTTTCTGCCCATCAGAATTCCCTGAGTATGATATAGGCCTACTACCACAGAAATTACTGTAATGTAATAAACCCATCCTGATGACTTCATGCTAGAGGCAAAGTAGGAGGAGTTTACTGGCAAACAGGGAAGGAAAAAAGTATGGAATAGCTGTAATTGGGTCTGTTGGATTCAATAAGACAATCTATGACAGATGCCTATAGCATGGGAGCAGTGTCTTTGGTGTGGAAGAACGGCCTTGTGGCTAAGTCCCTAGACTAAGACTGGACAGGTCTGCATTCAGTTACTTGCTCTGCGGCTGACTCCCTGAGTGACTGTGGGCAAGTCCCTTTGCCTTTCAGTCCACCTGGCTGTAAAATGGGGCCAGAAACATCTCTGTAAAACAGGTCGATATTGTGAAGCTAAATTAACTACTGATTGTGAGGTGCTCAGCTACTGTGGTACCTAGTCTGAGAGGATTGCATTACAGAAGTGTGGCTATGTGTTGCTTTTTGTTCTTCCTAGGAATAGGAGAGGACAGCATGACTGACCTGGGGTCTCCAATTTCCTCATGGACCTGATGAGGTTACTGTGGCTATAGATGACTCTGGAGACGAACAAATTCATCTGTAAAAAGATCTTACAGATTTTTTTTCCTCTCTCAATATTTTTCAATCACATAAAGGATGAGAAGTCACTTTAAACTCTGGGACACTGAGACCTAGCAGAGAACACAGCATTACATTTACAAAGGACGTGATAAATTATTCAGTCATTGTTACATTATGGTGTGGGGGGAGGCCGTGCCAGCTTCATGCAAGAGTGGATGAAGAAGTTTTCCTAATTGACAGTTTATGTAAGGCTTGCAGTCGTTTCTTATGCAGAGTGACACACACACAGGCTCACACAATGCTTTCAATCAAAGCCAGGCTGGGAAACCCAACCCCACAGACACCTTCAATTTCATGTTTTCTTAGGTTCTTTCAGAGAGAGAGTGATTGACACACAAGCTGAACCCTAGAAGAGGGAGAAAACAGAACCGTGGTCTTTGACTTCAATGCAAAAAGATTAGAGTAAGTAATTTTCTCTTTTATGACCTGGAAGAAAATGGGGAAGGATATCTCTGAGGCTGGATATCTGTTACGAAGACTCTGGCAGACAGATGTTTAAAAAAAAAAATCCCAAAACCCGGAGACAAAAACTATGACAGAAAGGAAAGTTACCTGAGAGAGTTACCTGAAGGGTCAAATCCAACAGCTTCATTTTCAAAAGTAGCTGTGAGTAGTTTGAGGGAGTTCCCATTTATTCCACAGCATTCGTCTGCTCTGGTACCTGGTGTTACTCCAGACCTTTGGCCTCATTTCCAAATTGGGTTGTAATGATCCATGTCTCTCCTCTCTCAAAAAAAAAGAAAAGGAGTACTTGTGGCACCTTAGAGACTAACCAATTTATTTGAGCATGAGCTTTCGTGAGCTACAGCTCACTTCATGCTTGCCAGCTAACCAATCTATAAGTGGTGATAAGCCATAGAGAGGATGCCTGGCCATTAGCTCCAGCAACACACACCTCTGTGTTTAGATTATGCCTTTTGGCCCAGCCCTGAGGAAGGCACTGTGTAAAATCTGCACCAACCTGGGAGTAGCCTTCAGAGGCAAAAGCTGCAACCTCCCCTGCTTCCCTCTTGCCCCAGGAGGATGATAGTAATTGACTGCAGCAAATTATGATACACTCTGCAATGACTGGGGCTTAGAAGGTGGACCAAGGCTCCCACCTGTTTCATGTACCATATGTTGGATAGTAACATGAAAGGACTCCATGCTTGTAAAACTAAAGTGGCTCTTTATTAAGAGAAGAGTTTAGAGGGTGCTGCATCTGCCGCTAGCATTCCAGCCATGTTCACACAGACTGACTTGCTGGTGACGCCTCCAAACTCTCCCTCCTGCACCCTGAGCTTCTCTTTCCAAGTTCCATGCAGATTTCTAAAATCACCAATTCCCCACCCACCTGCTCTGGGGAAGGAATAAATGTGTTATTATTGTGGGAGCACCTAGAGGCTCTGAACAAGATCAGCAAGGTGCTGTGCAGACATACAGGGAGAGGGAAGAGCTAAGAGTCCAAATAGACAAAGGCGGGTGAGGTAATACCAGCACAGAGAGGGGAAGTGACTTGCCCAAGGTCACATAGGAGAGCAGCAAATAGAACCCAGGTTTCCTGACTTCCAGTCCAGTGCCCTAGCTATTAAACCACCCTGCCTATCACTAGCCACTAAACATTTATTCCTGCACACTCAGACCCATGGGCTGGGTAGTCCATGTAACGGTTTAAGGAGGGATTGTGAATCCCCTTTCCTTCCTCCATTCCACAGACACCCAGTCCAAGTCCCAGCCAGCCCCAAAGAAGCAGCTGCTCTAATGCAGTCCCCGGAGCCAGCATTCAGAGTCAGAGATGCAGTTCTAGAGCTCCGTTCAGTTTAAAGCCCAGCTGCAGCATCTCGCTACTCTGCTGTTTCCAGTCACCATGGAGGGGCTGAGATGAAGTACTTAGTGAGATAAAGGGGAATTCTGTTCTCCCCTGCATCCCTTGCAGTGACTAGAGGCCCCCGAGCGGCGTGGTAGTGAGCTGCCAGGGTGTTGTCTTGTCATTTGAGCTCTGCCTCCAAGTGTACCTATTGTAGCTCATGATGCTTCTCATAGATGTTGTTTTGCCATGAGAAGGAAATGAGGGGAGAGGCCTTAATTAGATAACCTACAGATAAATCTAGAAAACTCACAAGGCTGTGAAAGCTCCAGAGGATTAAGAAAGCCCTTTGCATACTGCATGCATTACAAGGAGAGGAAAAAAACCGAGACAACAGGAGTCACACAGAAGGAAACATTAAGATGTATTTGTCCAAGACAGTTTGGGAGAGGGGAAAAAAAAAGCCAAAGGCAGATTAATGCACAGGGCAAAGAGGGGATTTGGGAACAGCATTGGAGCTGGGAATAACAATGAGAACAGACTGAGCTGAGGACGTAAGGGGAATGGAGGATGCCAGTAAGATGAACCAACTTTACTCTGGCCACACCAGAGTGCACAACTGCTCAGTTTCTGCAGCTATAGCTGTTATATTTGCCTGACATGACTAGTCCCTGGCTTGAAGCTGGGCAGAAAGAGCACTGCTTTGTTCAGTGGCCTGTTTTACTGGAGGTCAGATTAGATGATCTAATCAATTCTAAGGCCGGAGGGGACTTATCTAGTATTTCATGTCTCATCATGGTTTGAAGAAAAGGACAGATTCTGCCCTAACCTGGGGAAAGAACTACTAGTTGTGACCTAATCAGCTTTGAGTGGACCATGGAGCTGGGCATCTCAGTTGTTCTACCAGTCAGAAGTTTCAAAGTAACAGCCGTGTTAGTCTGTCTTCGCAAAAAGAAAAGGAGTACTTGTGCCACCTTAGAGACTAACCAATTTATTTGAGCATGAGCTTTCGTGAGCTACAGCTCACTTCATTGGATGCAACGATGAAGCGAGCTGTAGCTCATGAAAGCTTATGCTCAAATAAATTGGTTAGTCTCTAAGGTGGCACAAGTACTTCTTTTCAGTCAGAAGTTGACTCTTCAGCTTCTTGAAATCAGAGAGAGAGAGGCTCTGACCTGGATCATTCGTTCATGTTGGGCGTGAGGTTTTTGTCATATTTCAAACGAAGATTGAGGGGTTTGCGTGGTCCGGGAAGGAAGGGATGTACCCCTCAGCTCTGGAGATGTTTGATCAACACCAGATTTATGGCAAAAGTTGAAAGGGAGCGTCTCATGCTCCTAATTCTCATTTGTGGGCATTACAAAATTCATCAGCAGCATGAGCACTGTGTGTTAGGGTCCCAGGACAGAGCTGCATTGGCAGAACTGTGTAGGGCCCAGGACTGGGATAGCAGGGGTTGCCATGGGTCAGGATGGAGGTGCACTGGCAGAACTGTGTGTGATAAATTAGAACACAGTGTAGCTGGATGAAGCCAGCCCTTTATATTTCTCATGCTCATCAGCACTCCATTTCCCCACAAGCTTAACAAGTAAATAACATGCAGATTGAAATCACTGCTGCTCCCTGCCCCAGCCAGAGCTGGGAGAAGAATCCGATCTGCCAGAAAGCACTGTATCCCCTAAGCAGAGACTGATATGACTCTTCCTGTTGATGGATGGCAGAGTTTCTAATGTGAACTAAAATCCATTCAGAGCTAAATGAGAGTGTGAAAGTTACCATCTCTCTGCAGCCAAGCAGGTGCTCCAAAGGCAAATGCTCAGAGCCATTAACTTCCGGCTGCTTGGGCACTTTGATTATACAGGAGTGTTTATATCCCCCAGCCCCCCACTTCTCTGCCTCTCTTTTTTCTCGTTGCTGAGACTGGCACCTCCTTGTAAACTGGCTCAGTGTGCTTTTCTCTGCATATCCATCCTCATTTTGCCTTTTCATATCCCAATCCTCCTCTGTTGCAACTGCAATGGAGGCTGAGCACACGGAGCCTTTGCTCCAGGGTGCTGTCCCTGCCCCTTGGCAAAGCCTGTACCTTACCCAGGAATGCTGGGCAGGTGCCTCTGCAGCATTCACTGGGCTCTTGCAATCTTGGAGTGGGGGGTGGCATGGGGCAGCAAGCAGTTCACTGAAGGCTGGATCATACACCTTGCTGCCTGCTGCAGCTAAAGAGAAACCCAAGCTGCTGCTTTGCTGACCTGGTTTTTGCTTCAGCTTACTTTCACCATTTTAAAGAGACAGTCGCACCACAGCAGCTTGATGTAGGTCAGAAGCAGTGTGTGATTATGTGAATATTTGCTGCAAAAGATTTTTTTTTTAAATCCAGACACAAAAAACTTTTTTCCCACCACCTTAGCAATTACTAATGAATTGCTGCTACTGTTTGCCTCTGTGGACACTCCAAAGAGCTAGGCGTTGGTGTGTGAAGCGTTTGGGATACCTGGGGTATGAAAGCTGCTCTAAAAAAACTCTGTGGCATCTGAAGTGTCAAGATACCCCTGAGAAGGAAGTTGGAGGCTTATAGCCTCTTGCTTGTTACAGCAGCTATGGTGCATCATGATGGAAATGCCAGTGGAGACCGCAGAAGACCACACATCTCTGTCCCAATTTTTTTTCCTTCCTGGCAGTGACATCCAGAAATAAAAAGGCAAGAGAAGAGACCAAATGAGAGGGGAGAGATTGTATTATATTTCGGGGGAGGTTTTTTTAAATCATTGTCTCTAGTAATGTTACAGATGGAAATATTCTAGGGGCCCTATAGGAACACTTCACATAGTAAACTTCCCACGTGCATTATTCCATTCGCTTAAAAGGTTCTTTTTGCTTCAGCAGAATAAACTGAAGATGTCACACTGTTCCATGCAGCGGAGAGCAAGAAGAGATCCTCACACCCATGATGCAAATCACTTACAGGTACTTAGGACATGCCTTCCTTTCAGCAGTCCTGCTGGGATTACTCACCCACTTGAAGTGGGGCACGTGCTTATGGAGCTTACTGAATGGGGCCCTTAATCATTGCAGGTTTCTTAGATTTTCATAAAGCAAGTGATGTAAATTTCACCTGGCTTGAATAATACTGAAATAAGCTGGTTAAATGAATAGCTGCAAAGTGGCGTCTCCCTGAAAACCCTGTGGGTGCTTCAGAGGGAAGCTCTTCTAGATGATCAGCAGCTTTCATTCAAAGGAGTAAAAACCCCACTGTAGCTAACAGGATAGACATACCAGCTGCATAACATGCTGGGTTAGATTTGCCACAAGGGCTTGTGAAATCGCTGGCTAGAATGGAATCAGATAGGTCAAGTCTCTTGTGTATGGGTGCTGTGTGTATCCAGCAGGTTTGCCCATTTGATTAATCAGTCTAATTAATTTAAAAGCCATTTCTTAATACTCCACTCACTGCAGTTGGAGTTGAATGTGCTTCAGACGGACACTGCATTCCAGAATGTATGCACAGAAAGAAACATAGGTGTAGATTGAGATGCTAAGATTTTCCAAGGAGCCTACGGTAAAAATAAATTAATCTCCCAACTCCCATTGCCTTTCAGTGGGAAATGGGTTCCCAACTCATTTAAACCTTTTTGCCTAAGCCCTCTGGGGAGGGATGGTCTTTTCACTACATGTTTTTACCATGTCAAACACAATTGTCCTTGCTTAGTACCCCTAGTTGCTACTATAATACAAATAACTATTTTTCATCCCATCTGGAATGAGTGTGTTTGTTTGTAGAAGTTATAATAATAATCCCTGTTCTTATATAGCGCTGTTCATCAGTTGCTCTCAACAGACTTTACAAAGGAGGCCATTGTCATTATACCCATTTTACAGATGGAGAAACTGAGGCACAGAGCAGGGAAGTGATTTGCTCGAGATCACTCAGAGCTGGGAATTGGATGCAGTTCTCCTGAGGCCCAGTCTTGGGCTCTAGCCACTAGACAACTAATGGACACCAAAAACATTCTCAGCAAGCTGCCCAGGATAGGACTCAAACTTGCAGTTCATGGGACCTGTTTGGATTCAAGGGCCACAGCAGATGACTTTGAGAAGCGGAGGATGGCTGAGTTTGAAGGTGTCCAGTTGATCTACACGTGGTTAGTATCCTTCCAGTTCTGGCATTGATGATATGTTGGAAAAGTGCCATGTAAGAGAGTCCTACATGTTGTGGGAATGGGGGTGGAGGGTAGGAAAGAAGTATGGGCAAGGGAAAATCAGTCCAAGGATATTTGCATTTGACAATAGGTTTTACTGGCATATTTCTGATGTCACTTTCGTCTTTCGTTGTAATTTATCTGTTTAATATTGAGTTAAGAAGCCAGGAGGCAGCATCTGTCTGTCTGCAGCTCAGAGTGGGCTGGAGATACACTTCCAGTTGAACAATAAGAGGGGAAACTCCCTGTAGAAACCTGTATGTGAGAGAGAGTGCTTAAACACCTTGCAAGGCGTTCATTCGAGATGAGCATCTTTCCTAGCAAAGATACATACACTGCAGACAACAAGAGTAGGGTGACCAGATCTCCTGATTTTATAGGGACAGTCCCAATTTTGGGGTCTTTTTCATATATAGCTCCTATTACCCCCCCCCCCCACCCCGTCCCGATTTTTCACATTTGCTGTCTGGTCACCCTAAGCAAGAGTGTCCTGATTCAGAAGGGTGATTAAGAAGGCTGAAAACAAAGCTAAATTATTAGTTTTCCATGGGCAGGGCCCTGGACACTGGATGGTCTCTCCAAGAGGAATGGTATCAGTTTGGTTGGTATTGTTATAGGACCTTTTACCCAAAAAAACTCCTGCAGGTACCCAGTCAGTGTGATCCCTAGTCAAGCACAGAGCCCCATGTTTTCATAAGTGTCTGCTAATTTTGAGCACCTCACTTTATGGAAGCACATGTAGACCAAGATTAAGAGGTGCTGAGTACCCACAAGTCCAGTTACTTCAACAGGTGCTAGAAATATTTGCAACCTGTGAAAACCCCAAGCTCCCTCAGGTGGGAGTCTCCAGAAGTTAGCAACCTTAAAGTAGTGGAAACTATTGAACATTTTAGCAAGAGGATTTACTCTTTGCTGCAGTCCAGCAGGAAAGTAATATCTAGTCCCTGATCATAAGAATGGCCGTACTGGGTAAGACCAATGGTTCATGTAGTCCAGTATTCTGCATTCCAGTGGTTCTCAACTAGGGTAGACATACCCCTGGGGGTATGCAGAGGTCTTCCAGGGGGTACATCAACTCCTCTAGATATTTGTCTAGTTTTATAACAGACTACAAAAAAAGCACTAGCAAAGTCAGTACCATCTAAAATTTCATACAGACAATGATTTGTTAAACTGCTCTATATACTATACACTGAAATGTAAGTACAATATTTATATTCCAATTGATTTATTTTATAATTACATGGTAAAAATGAGAATGTAAGCCATTTTTCAGTAATAGTTTGCTGTGACACTTTTGTGTTTTTGTCTGATTTTTGTAAGCAAGTAGTTTTTAAATGAGGTGAAATTTGGGGGTATACAAGACAAATCAGATTCCTGAAAGGGGTACAGTAGTCTGGAAAGGTTGAGAACCACTGCCGTATTCCAACAGTGCCCTATCATCCCCTATCATCCAGTCCCAGCTTCTGGCAATCAGGAGTTAGGGACACCCAGAGCATAGGGTTGTGTCCCTGACCCATTTTGGCTAACAGCCATTAATGGACTTATCTTCCATAAACTTAGCTAATTCTTTTTTGAACCCACTTATACTTTTGAACTTCACAACATCCCCTGGCAATGAGTTCCACAGGTTGACTGTGCGTTGTGTGAAGAAGTTCTTCCTTCTGTATGTAAATTTTGCTGGGTGACCCCTGATTCTTGTGTTATGTGAAGGGGTAAATAACACTGCCTTATTCACTTTCTCCACACCATTTAGGATTTTATAGACTTATCAGATCCACCTCTTTTCTAAACTGATCAGTCCCAGTCTATTTAATCTCCCCTCACATGAAAGTTGTTTGGTGCCCCTAAACATTTTTGTTGCCCATGCCCAATTGTAATATATTTTTGAGGTGGGGAGACTAGATCTGCACACAGTATTCAGGGTGTGGGTATACCGTGGATTTATGTAGTGAAATTACGATATTTTGTCTCATTATCTATCCCTTTCCTAATGCTTCCTAACCTTCTGTTTGCTTTTTTGACTGCTGCTGTACATTACGCGGATATTTTCAGAGTCTTTCTTGAGTGGTAAGAGCTAATTTAGAGCCCATCACTTTGTATGTATAGTTGGGATGATGTTTTCCAATGTGCATTGAATTTCATCTGCCATTTTGTGGCCCAGTCACCCAGTTTTGTGGGATCCCTTTGTGACTCTTAGTTCAGTCCAGCACTGACTACAATCTTGAACTAATTTTGTATCACCTGCAAACTCTTCCACCTCACTGCTTATGCCTTTCTCCATATCATTTACAGGTTGAACAGCACTAGCTCTAATACAGATCCTTGGGGGACCTTGCTATTTACCGCTCTACATTCTGAGAACTGACTCTTTATTCTTACCCTTTTGTTCTTTATCTTATAACCAGCTATCAGTCCATGAGAGAACCTTCCCTCTTATCCAATACCGCTTACTTTGTTTGAGAGCCTTTGGTGTGGGACCTTGTCAAAGGCTTTCTGAAAGTCCAAGTACACACTTCTCTGTCCAAGAACACTGTTTCAGCTCGCTCACCAATAATAGAAGTTGGGTTTTAGCCTAGGTACAAAACCCAATTTGAGGGTAAAATTGTATTAAATGTCTTCAAATATGTTCTTTTAAAATATACTTCCATGAGCTAAAACAGCATAAACCATGGTGGCGCTCAGGCTATAACAGAGCTATTTTCATCAGGAACTGACATCGAACGACCTTAACAATGCAGTTCCAGACACCTAATTAAAAGTAAAATTAAAAACATGGAACATACAGCTCTAATCACATTTTTTTTTAAATAGAAAGGCATTGAGAGGAAGAGGTAGAATAAATGATTTACAAATTTTGCTGGTGATGACTATGAAGTTAAAGCAGAGATATTCCCTGGAGGATTTCTGAGCTACTTAATATTCTGCTACCCTTATATGAAGTCCATTATGCTCGGCGTTTGTACAGAGAGGTGTGTGCGCAGGGGAAGCAGATGTCCAGACAAAACACCAAGAAAGAGAAAATTAAATGATCTGTGTAATTCCCAAATGACTCCCTCTAAAAAGGAAACCAATGTTATCTTCAGAAAGCCAGAGGAGGCACTGCCTTTATGTCCTCATGAATGGCTGCAAAGACGAAATGCACTCTGCTATCTCTTCCGCTTAGGAAGAGGGCGTTGCAACTGCAGCGCGGTTTAAATGCTGGAGTGTGGGTTTGATAAGACAGAGCTGGGTTATCCCGACAGTTACTAAAACACCTGATAAGAGAGGAGTAAATAATGGCTGGAGGTGTGGTTAAAACAAGGAATAGTCTTGTTTGGGTTTGAACCTGGCTGAACTGGATAAAATGTGACAGCTGTTATTGCTGAGGCCCGCTGAACTAAGCTCTGGAATCAAACAGGCTTAATTTGGGCATAAAAGGAAACGGAGTAGGAATCTTAATCCAGATGTTTTAGTTTCCTAAAGGGATGTATCAATGTACGGTACATTGAAGGCCAGGTCCTCAGCAGATGTTAAAGGGCATTGATCAATGGAAATCAACGGAACTGGCTGAGGATCTGAGTGTGGAATTCATACCTTGTGTAAAGGGCTGGTATAAGGCCTATCCACCACCTTGAGCCAGCCAAACAGCCTCTGAGAATTTGACCCTTATGCCATATTCCTCGCCACCGTATTGTATCACCTTTGATGTGACAGCCTTAGCCATGGAATGCGGAAAAAGCTTGGCCAGTTATTAGCATGGGCTGCTTCCCCCAGGGCTGTATGAAGTGCAGTCTGTGGGAGCAGAGATTAAGGCAAAAGTAGAATAAAAAGAAGGGCTTCCGCTGGCTTCCTAGGTGCATAGGTCCTGTGGAGATGGACAAGGAGGGGCGTTTGGTTCCATCGCGTCCAGCTGTCTGCAGTGTTCTGAGATACTGAGCTGGGGGGAGAGAAGAAAGACCCAGGGGCGTTCTAGACTCTCGGTCTGGACTCCTAACCTAACAATAGCCCATAGACATCCGACTCTACAATTTAGCAGGACCCAATCCAGGGAGGTGCTCCACCCTTCTCCGGATTGAAACCTCAGTGGGTAATTCTGTGATCTCCAGAGATGCTTGATGGGAAGCAATTCAGATCTTCATCAGATGAACCAAAGGGCTTTGCCCCAAAGGGAAAAAAATAAACAAAAAAACCCAGCTCAGTGTTTTAGCAGGAAAAAAAAATCCTCAGCAACCTGCAGCCAATTTGCAACTCACCTGCCCTGCAAACAGCTTCCTAATTAGGGTTTGTTTGGTTTGTTTCTTAATTGCTGTTAATTCCATGCTGCCAACGCGTGCTTGATTGACATCACCTGGAGAACAACATCCTCTATCTTCACAGCCGTGCAAACGACCTCCATGTTGCCCACCCCTACATTGAGAAAGGGAGATGGGTGTGGGAGAGGAGGAGAAACCTGGCACTATGTCTCTCAGGGGAGGAGGGGTTAGTAGCATTCTCTTTGCTTTACACCCTGTTTATTGTTCCACAACAGGAATTTCTCACTGGACGGAGACCACCAAGTAGGTAAAAATAAAGCTGGGAACAGGCCTTTTTCAGCAGTTACTGTAAACACTGCAGCCCCGCGGCTATTAACTTTCTGCTCAGGGCTTTGTGAGGCTCTGGGGAGGGCTTTTCCTAACGAGATTCAGCCACTGAACGGATGGAGGCTTTGGCACTTTTTGCAGCGACTTTGTCAGGCACTGAATAAATTGGAAAACTCAGCGAGTGGAGCTTCCAGTTGCTGGCAGCTCTGTCTGCCTCTGGTCCCGGTGGAAACAGGCTAAGCTTCTGCAGTGGGCATGGCCTTGCTGTTGGAGCAGATCAGTCTACCTCATTTTCAGCACATTCAGGGTCCTCCAATAAACCACTAGCAGCTCTCCATCCAGCACAGCAAGGAATGTTTGCCCAGTTTCCCTTTCAGCCGTGGGTGATGGGAACTGCTCCTTGCTGGGGGGGCATTTATGGCCTGACTTTCA